ATATTCCTCCATATCGCCCAACCTGGCCTTCCCTAGGCTGAGCAAGCCTCGCTCCTCAGCCTCGCCTTCTACATCCAGTCTTCCAACCTTCCAACCCACTAACCATCTCAGTGGCTCTTTACTGAACTCTTTCCTATTTTTCAGCATCTCTTTTACACTGGGGTGCCAAAACTAGGCACCATGTCCAGGTGTGGCCTCGCAAGTGCAGAACTCGCTCCCCTCCACCTGCCAGCGGAAACGTGGCTGAAGGAACTCTAACAGACGAGCTATAGATTTTTCTTCTTCTGGCTGCCATTTGGTAGTGGTGTCTGGACTTACGAACAAGAAATTGTGTTGGCAAGATTGTGTGAGCTGCAGAGAGAAAAATGGAGCCAGGTGCACGTCGTCACACAATATTGTCCTAGCTGCTCGTCACCAGCTAGCGGCTTTGTTCAGGTTGCCCAGGAACAAAAAGCTCCTTGTGAGGAGCCCCAGTACAGCCACGGGTCGGCTTTAAGAGTTGCCTTTGCCTCCATCCGTTCAAGTGATATTGTAAGTTAGGCTCCTCCGAATTGCCTTTTGGAAGAGCTGATGGCATGGGGAGGCCGGGAAGCCTGATTCACAAGCTGAAGCTAGGTAGTGTGAACATGCCCCAGCCAGTGCATTGCCAAAGCCTTGCTGAAAGCAAGAAGAAAGACCACTTCCCCGCCATTGATGTGGTAATGGCCTCCAGAGCACGGCAGTGTGGCTCTGTCAATGACGCACTGATTGCTATCTGAAAGTCAGTCTTCTGGGATATGAATGGAGGCTATTTTGTTCTTCTTCAGTTGGTAAATTAGTGCATCTGAGCGGGCAGTGCCTGTGAGCGAGGGAACAGCTCGAGTGGTGAGAACGCCCGGCTTTCTCAGGCTTCTGGCTTTGTGCGTTGGCCGCGGGGGAGCAGCCTGCTGCTTTCACAAGAAACCCTGTTCAGAAGCGAGTGTGGGTGAAGTTGGCGGCTTTTATCCCAGTGCCATCTCCATAGGATATCTAGAGTCAGGATCCCCCTTCTCCCACGGGACGGGCTGTGACCCTGGGCTGAGCGGGCGCTGAGGGTCCCAGCTCCAGTCTCCTGCCTAAAGGACTTCGGTGACACGCTCATGGTGACATTCTTCTGCAGCATCTCTCCATATAGTACAAACGATGCTCGCTTCAAAACAGAAACCTCGAGCACAAATAAAATAAAATAACCATGAAACTAACCCCGTAGGATGTTCCAGGGAATCTCTAAGCAAAGGTGCCTGCGCAGGACCTGCAGCACCGCGGTGACTTTAGAAACGCTGTTGGTGTCCTTCACTGCTGACAGCGGTTTTGTCCTCTCAAAGTCCGGGTTTCTTTTTCCTCTTTTAAAGTTGCTGGCTCCAAAATATTCTACTTGACATTTTCTCTACACTAACAGAATTTTTTTTGTTGATGCTGGAAGCACTTGAGAACAGTGGAAATTGGCCAAGACATTCAAAAGCTAAATTAAAATCTGACACTGCAAATAGCCAGTGTCACTGGTGTGAATAACTTCCCTCTCCGGTAAAAGATATTGAGGGAAAGCAGAGAATTGTATCGGAGAGAAATGCAACTTAACACAGACAGATAAAAGTGATCTAGGGTTGGCTGGGGTGACTTCCAAAGAAGATATTGGATATTTGAGTCCAAAGTTATTGATAGCAATAGAGGAATTGCTGATGCTGAGGGCTGTGATCAGGACATTCCTGAGCTTGCTCTGCCCTGGTTGTTGTGAGCTTTGTAAAGCGCTCGGCTGGGTCGGAACAGGATTTACGGGTAGGTAATCTGCAGCAGTCATTTCAGAAAGCTTTAATCATGTGTTATTGTTGGTGTCAGGAGTTTTTGTGTGCGCCTATGGATTAAAGAACATATCGTATGTCTAGAATTCAGAGAGGGATGTAAACAAGCCGTATGGTCTGTATAATCTGTTCCCACTCAGAGGTGTTGCTGATGTTGATCAGAACAACTGTGCCAGTTTCCTCTTGAAAAGTGTTCGTTTACTGAAAGCAAAGTACATGAAATGTCATCCCTAGTGAAACATTTGTCTCTGCATCTGTGCCCACATCTTCTGGGGCCAAAGTTTCCACATTCTTGCTCTTGCAAAGCTGTTGCGGTGGAAGCCTTTCCCCTTTATAGCAGTGTTGGGTTTTTTTCATTAAAAAACAAACAAAGCTATTTTCTGTTTGAGAATGCAAGATGTAATATCTCTGGAGAGATTAACCTTCTTTCCAGAGTTGTTTTTGTGGTTGAAAGAATAAGTCTGTTATCATTAAAATAAAAAAAAAAATATATCTGCACCTCATTATTGCCAGAAATAAAGCTGACATAATGAGATTTATTGAGAAATGACTGTGGACAAACTGAAGAGAGATCCAACCCCAAAGACTTTGTGTTCTAGAAAAAAGGCAGAAAGACAATAGGATGGACACAGGGGAAGCTAGAAGAGGGAATTGCTCTGTGATGTTAATAAGAAAATATGTTCTTTTTGGGAAGGACTCTGAGAAGTGGCTTGGCAAACACGCAGAAGGAGTTATTCAAGCCTCCTTCCCGTGTTAGGTGCTTGGCTGAGCTCCGCTGCACGAGGCAGAGGTCTGAGAGATGCACCCAGGATCAGGACTGGCATGCCGGGAGGAAATGTAGGGGGCAAGGAGTGTTAACATGATGGCTTATCCTTTCCCTCTCTGCCCCTTCCCCCGGTCCCCTCTCCTGCGTCTCTCCCGTAACTGAGCCCCTGGTTAGCTGCAGGACCCTGTCCCGTTGACACTGGCTCCTTGATGTGCCACCAGCCTCTTGGGAGCAGCAGGAAAAATATTCTTCCACATATCCATGGGAAGAAATGTGGTTTGGCATTTGGCAAAGTCACAGGGGTGCAGCCGTAGTGCTGAGGCAGCAGTTTTTGTGAGAAGTCTGCCTTCTCCTGGGCGCTACCTGGGATGCCAAATTTCTCTGTGGCTTTTCTCCCAAGCCTCTACCTCCTCCTGCACCTCTGTGGGGTGGGTCATTCTTTTTTTTCTTCAGTGCTTTCTTTTTTCCTTCCCTTTTAGCTTGGGGCCATCAACAGGTTTGTTTCCTGATCTCTGTGCAGGGTGTCTGCTTTGAAGACAACTTCTCACCTTTTAGTTACTGAAGGAATGTGAGGAATGAGGCTCCGTGGCTCCAGCCTCTCCACCCGCAGGGCTGTGTCTGTACACGCCGGGGACAAAGAGCAGGGTCCCCGCGCCCCTGGGAGCTGGCTGTGACCCCGCGAGGGCTGCGTGGTGGGCAGCGAAGGAGAGATGGCAGTGGCACGTGCGGAGGGTGGGGGTGGACTTTCAGTGCATATCTGAGCATTTCCCTGCTCTGAGAAGTTCTTGCTGGTAGTGCCAGCAGCGATACAGATCCCCGTCCACCATGGAGAGTTTCAACTTGTTGAGCAATTAAGTCTTCTTGAGAATATCAGCTTCTAAGATCCACGAGTAAATCAGTCAACAGATGAAGAGGAGCGAGTTGCTGATCTGCCGCAGCGGCCGGGAGGTGTTTGCAGGCACAGGTGTGTTGGCTGGGCAGGAGGTGAGGGTCCTTCCAGCCCCGTGGAGCTGGCGTGACTTTCGGTGTCACCGTGCTTGTAGAGGGCATTGGCCAAGAGGCTGAACAAGACAAGAAAGCTTTGGTGAGTCCAGCTGTCGCAGTGGAGGCTGTGCTGGGCTCTGCTTGTCTGCCCTGCCCTTGCCGATAGCTGCTCCCTCGTGCCAGGGCAGGCAGCGTGCCGTGCCCCAGCCTCTGCTCACTGCCGGGTATCTGGGCAGCCGTGGGTTGGTGCTCGTGCCCCCAGGCTCGATAGTGTGCTGAGGCATGGGCACATGTTTGCTTCTTCCAGAAAGTGGCTGGGAACAGGGAATGTCCGAAACTGCCCTCCCTGTGTGCGGGTACATGTAACACGGGCTCCTACAGCGACACTTGAGATCGCTGGGTTTGTCCCTGTGGCTAAACAATAATCCAGTTGTCACGTTCACAGAGGCCTTGAATAGACACCTAGGGAGGGATTTCTTGCACCCAACCAGTTCTTCACAGCTGGAGTGACCGCTCCAGGTTCCTCTTGGGATCAGTGGGGACAAAGCAGGACTTTCAGAGCACAGTTTGTGCAGGTGGGACGAGAGCACTCACAGCCTGGACCCTGTCGCCGTGCTGGCGGGTCTGTGCTGGCTGCACAGGACGGCTCTCCGCACGGCGTGCTTTTGCGTGTTGCTGGAGGAGGCACCTGGTGCCCCTGTTTTCCCCGCTGCCTGTGCGGATGGGCTGTGGGCTGAGGAGCCTGTTCCTCGCTGTGAACACCAGAGTCTGTTGCTCAGGAAAGCTTTGCTGAGGTGTCCTGCCTGTAACCCTTGTGCGACTGCCAATCCCAGTTACCTGTGCAAATGCTCCCAAGGCTGGAGGAGACCCCATGCTGCTGTCTCACCTGGAGAGAGGCTAAGCCACCCTGTTGCCTCTCCCAGGACATCAAGTCACAGCAGCACTTCAGGGCTACAGGCACAAAATGGGACCGAAACAATCCAAGCACTTCCCCCTGCCGTAATTACCTGCCTAACAAGCCCAAAGACCTTTACCGTCTGGTCAGTCACTGCTTCTGATTTTGCTTGATTTAATCAGTATCTGAGCAAATCATATGCTGGCCATCAGTCAGGCTACGTGGAATTGATTTACCCTTGGTTCTCTGTGCTGCACCTGCAAGGTGGTGTTCTCTGAACAAATAGCCGTGCTGTCCAGGGGACCCAAGCACCCCGATGAGCTCTCAGTTAACATGTGTGCTCTTCATCTCTTGCAGAGAAGTGCAGCACTCACTGAGTTTGAACAAAATCACTCCTGAGGTGACGGGGGGGTGATTCTTGCTCCTTTCTGCACTTGGCTGGGAGTCCCTGGAGGGTGCTGTCCCCTGGGAGGGGGTAGAAGCCCCCATGATGGAAATTGCTCTGACAGTCTTCCTTCACTCTTGATACCCCTTTCAGAGCACAGTTGGAGAGAATCGATGTCTTCAAGGGCACCTGATACAGCTGCTGATCCGTTACTGTGATGTGGACGCGGCGGCGAGATGGGCGCAACGCTACAGTTTGCCCAAGGAGATGCTACCTTGTGAAGTGGCTGATGAGCTTCAAAAGCTTCGGATCCAGGAGAGGTAAATACTCTGGGTTGTGCCTTTTTCTGTGTGGATTACTTGTCATACCAGGACTACGTGTTTGCTTAAAATAATATACCATAGTGCTTCCTTGGGGAGATAATTTTGCAAAACTTCCTCAATTTACTCAGATCACATCTTCAACATGTACATGCTGCATTTGGTTTTCATAAGCCTGGAAACATCTGTACATTTTATTAGGATATTAGACATTAGGAAGAAATTTTTCACTGTGCAGGTGGTGAGGCAGTGGCCCAGGTTGCCCAGAGAAGCTGTGGATGCCCCATCCCTGGAGGGGTTCAAGGCCAGGCTGGATGAGGCTTTGAGCAACCTGGGCTAGTGGGAGGTGTCCCTGCCCATGGTGGGGGGTGGCACTGGATGATCTTGAAGGCACTTTTGAACCCAAACCATTCTGGGATTCTATGATTCTATGATTTTAAACTTACTCCTGAGTACTTAGAACCTATGAGATCGCTTCACACTGCAGAGGGGTCTTCAGACTCCCTCTGCCAGATCAACAGCATAAATGAAATTACATGGGAGGGATCTGAATGTGTGTCTGTTTTACTGAGTTGATTACATGTCTGTCAAAGCTTTCTATATACTCTGCATCCCCCACTGTACTGTAATCCAGTTTAATGCCTTCTAGGAAACTTATGGCCAAGAAAATAATTTTGAAGTTCCTTGAGTTTTTCTAATTGTATTTATTTTCTTCCTCCTTTGACAGCTCATAAGCCATTTTAATCCCCGTCTGTCATTTTTGCCTCATCCAAAGCTTTCAGAAATAATGGGAAATTTTGACATTTGGGGTCAGATCCCGGAAGCATCGCATTAATTGAATTCGGGATAAAACCAGACTCTCTGGTACAAAATTAACAAGTGAACTTAAGAAGCCTTGAGCCCCATAATTAGTCTCTGTCCCCTTTTTTTCCTCTAATGCAATCCCAATAACCCAGTGCCGTGGTTCCTCTCCTGCTTTGGGAGATTAGCCTGGAGGAGCTGCAGTTCCTCCCCCAATGGGAGCTTCATCCTGTTGCATGACCTGAGGCAGGAGTACCAAGGCAGAGGTACAAAAAATAGAATTGAAAAATCCTTATATTAAGAAGGGTTCTTACAACTCCTTCATTTCAAGTGCACAGAACTGTGCAAACAGCCCCAGTCAAGGATCTCTGTGAACCTGTTGGTGCAGGAGGAGCAGAGGGGAAGGCTGGAGGGAAGAGGATGGCCAGGTTCCATGCTGTGTGTAGACAAAGCTGTGCAAAGTTGAAAAGAAGCTCAAGATTTAGGAAGGCGCATAGAGCCACCTAAACTCTTAGGAGCTGGCTGATCCCCACAGCAAGCAAGATCTGGAGGGGTACCAGGGCTTTGTAGTTCTGTTTCTGGGTATTCTGTGCTGTGCCTCTTTGAGTAAATGGCCCAAGATCATCCTCTTCATGCACCAGTATCCCAGGCAGGTGCTCAGCTATGCTGTATGCAGGAAAAAAGACAGTTTTTGAAAAAAACGACTCAATGCAAATGATTTGCTGAGCCCCAGTAATTCACTTTTACACCCATGTGAGTGATAGTGTATCTGCTGTGCTTCGGTGACTCTGTCCACAAGGTGTTTAAGCAAGTTATTCAGAGAGAGCCATGTTTGGCACCCTTTTGTAAATCTTTTCTTTTCCCTGCACAAAGGCCAGCACGTATGCAGGTTACTGCAAGTCTTGGGGAGCTGCAGATGATACTGGCTGAGGGTCCTGTTAGGATCTCACCCAGGACTGCACAGGAGATGTGGAACCTCAGGCAGGCTGAGGTCTGGCTGGTCATCCCATCGGAACACAGCCCGGCAGCCTCTGTGCCCACACATGGTCATGAGCTGAACTTCTGCAAGGCTGCAGGCTGCCACAGTCCTTGGGCTCGGAGTAATTCCAGTCACCTTGCTGGGCTGCTGCAGTCGAGCAGCATTTTCTCTGCTCATTCATGTGCAGGAATTCATCTAATTGGATTCTGCACGTGGAAGAGGACTTACCCCTGAACGCTCAGTGCAAACGCAGGAGAGCTCTGGGCTGCGTGGCTTTGGTGCAGCACAGCTCAAAGGCTTGCTGTCGTTTGAGGAGCAATCGTATATTTCCAGGTAGAGTCAATGCTTTGGACAAAAATAGGAAGGAGGAAGCAGTGATAATTTTTGGGTCCCTTAGGACTCTTCAGTTGTACACATCAGTGACCTTACTCCAGGGTGTTGTGCTTGACTAGACTGGGCACCGCTTGGCTGATGGTTCTCTCTTGCCCTCGCTGGTAAAATGGGTTTTTTAGCGTGGAGATTGGTGTTTCTAGCTCAGAAGCCAGGTGAGATTAGAGGAAAGTGTGTGGAAAAATCTTGACCACTCCCAACTGTGTGCGAGTTGATAGCCCATATCTTTAGCATCCTTCAGACCTGGCCCTTGAAACCTCTAACATGAGGGAGTAACTTCCTATACGGAGCTGAACTTCTCAGGGTACGTGATGGAGATCGGAACCTGATGTGAAATGGACTGTGTGTCCAGGAGGAGCTGACGTTGACATCACGCATTGCCTGTTTGGGGAGGAATGAAGCCAGCAGAAAGTCCATGATCACTGCTCCCTGGGTAGCGAGTTGGATGCTTCCAGCGCCGTTCTGTTGGTGTGAGAAGCAGGGACAGGGTCCCTCTTGGCGTGACTGTCACACGAGTCTGCTACCTCGTGTGGTCTGCGGCTTTCTCCTGTTACTGCAGAACGTGCGGTCGTACACAGATGGTTTGGGTGCTTCCTTTTCCCTTATGTTCTTAGTGCTGAACTTTCCTACTGCTGTCTTATGTCAGAATATGAACTCCAGCTGACAGTTGGGATCTGTCACTGGCTGCCTGGTTAATGCTGACACCTCGCTGGGGGATAAGGAGACCATTTTAAGAAGACCAAGCCCGAGACTGAGCAAGGTTACTTGTTCTAGTGGGTTTATCATCAGGTTTGTTGTCTTCAACATCCCAGCAAATTTCCATCTCCTGGAGGAGATGTTCATGCAATAACTGCAGCTTGTAACTAAAAGTCGTATCTTTGGAGCATAGATTGGACTAAGTTGAATTACATAGAAGGTGAATGAGAACATGGTGTGTTATTATTTTTTAATTATGATGATTTTGGGAGCATCTCACAGGTGGCCTTGAACAGTTCACCTGCTGAGCTTCATGGATCTGATCTGTCTCCTAGTGCAGATCTGCACTGGTTCATGTTCAAGCCCCATGTAACCTCAGGAAATACGACACAGATATGATGACCCTCAAACACTGTCTGCAAAGGCTGCTTCTCCAAATGGTGGATGGCTTGCTTGGGGCATCTGCACAGGACTTGCTTCTGCTTCGCTCTGCAGCGTTGCTGGAGCTGCACCAGCTGCCAGTTGGGAGCCAGAAGGTTTTTGCATGAGGTGTAATCCCTCAAAAGACAAAGGGGTGGTTATTGGGAGTGTGACTTAGCCACAGACTCTGTGCATCTGGAAAGATAAAAGCCATCACTCCACCTCTCTGCTCTGGGAATGCTGTGCCGTGCAGGGGTGGAGTGGAGGCATGCCGATTGGGATGTACTCTGCTGCTGGTGAGGAGATGTGACCGATGAGCGAAACCCTTTGTCCCCCTGTTTACTCATCCAGTCACAATACCTGCTGCAGGAGCTGCTATACAATCAGCGGAGCCGTGGGACCTAATAAAACAGCCTGTCTGCCTTATTTATTGAGCTAACAAAGCAGCAGGTTCCCAGGGAGGGTGTTCACAGCGTGGAGAACAAGGTGGTACCGGCACATAAATGACATCATCTCTGCCACTGGTCACACCACACGCAGCTCCTGAACTCTGCAGGCGAGAATATTGCTGGAGGCCTGAGGCTGCACACCTTCATTAAATATTTTACACAAATATTGACTTCCCCATGCACACAAACCCACGGGAAAGAGAACAGCGAAAGCTGCTGTGCTGCGAAATTAGCCACATGGTCCCCTAAACATAAGGTTAGTAAATAGTTTCTCAAATAAGAAACCGTTTCAAGTCTCTATGGGAAAGAGACTATCCTGAAATCTGTGATGTGTCCAAAATAGCTGGATTTTTTTTATTACTTTCTTTCCTCTGATTGCATCATCTGGCTGAGACACCGCAGCACTCGCTGACCTTCCACTCACAAGGCCATTTCAAGAGACTCTGCTGCCTTTTCAAAAGAAAATGTGCTGCATAAGATCCTTCTGTAGGAAATCAGTTAGCTCATTTGGCATCTCCCAACATTCCCAGGGTATTAATACGCAGATACTGAATTTCTCGGCATGGTGCCATCTCAAACCCAAGTGGAAGGAGCAGCACAATGAAGGCAGTGGGTCTGTGGGTTCAGCTGGCTGTCTTCCCCTAAATATAGAAGGTTTTGAACTTCATTTCTGAACTTTTCTCATTTCATCCCTGTGCAACATCGGACGAATTTTCTTGTGCAAGCTGTGTGGACATTTGCCAGGGAAGGGGATGCAGGAGAAGAAGCGGGATAGCATCAGGGAGATCCGCGAAGCCTTCCCGAGACGTTGCGCTATAAAACGATGAGGCAGATTCCCCCGTTCCCAGCTGGTTGTGATCTGAGTGTGGAGCAGCCCGAGAATCTCTTTCGGAGACAGTTTACACTGTGGGGAATTGTGAAGCTCCTGTTTGGACACAGTGCTGCTCAGAGCTGTTACACCGTGGGAGCTAGCAGGCTTAACCTCGAGGGCAAAAAGCAGTAAATGTAAAAAGCTTTATCTCTGACTGTGGAAGCAGCTGCCCAGCTTTGTCGTCCAAGTTGCATCAGTTCGGGGAAAGAGCTGAGTGTTGAGGGCAGGGCTTGGGACTCAACTCCAGCGAGTGCTTGGTGTGGGTGTTCTCTGCAGGGGGTGCAGTGCGTGTGTGTGGGGAGGTTGGGATGCGGTGCCGTTTCTGTGATAGGAGTAAAATGAGAGGATGAGTCAAGATGAAAGAGAGAAAGTGAGGAAAGAGAGGGTGAGAGAAGGAGATGAGTGGCATGGGGAAATAGAGGGCCAGGGTGAAATAAGAGGCTTACGACCTCCTGGTGCTCCTCCAATCCAGGATTTCCTCTCATTGCATGGCTTAAAGCTGTTGTGTCTGATTCTGTGCAGGGTAGAAGAGGCTGCAAAAGCGGATAATTATGAAGAGAGTAAGAAGAAGGACTATTACCAGCTTCCTATTCCACGGGCAAATATTCACTTCCTGCAGACGTGGGAAGAGGCACTGCAGTGCTGGGAAAGGGTGCTGCGGGTGAGTGTTACCCTGGGATTTACTCTGCAGGTTCAAGGAGCAGAAAGTCCATCGCAGGGTTGTACATGGGCCACTGCCATCAAATGTCTCCCTCCCCACGTCAAGAACAGCTGCTTCCCTTAGGCTTCTCTGATTTGGGGAACGCATTGGGAATCAGCACAGGACAGACACGGAGCTGCTGGAGCGGGGCCAGAGGAGCCACGGAGATGGGCAGAGGCTGGAGCAGCTCCCGTGCGAGGACAGGCTGAGAGAGTTGGGGGTGTGCAGCCTGGAGAAGAGAAGGCTCCGGGGAGACCTTCCAGCAGCTTCCAGTGCTGAAAGGGGGCTACAGGAGAGATGGGGGGGCTCTGAGGAGAAGGGACAGGACGAGGGACGATGGTTTGAAGCTGAAAGAGGGGAGATTGAGGTGAGATGTGAGGAAGAAATTTTTTCCTGTGCGGGGGGTGAGGCAGTGGCCCAGGGTGCCCAGAGAAGCTGTGGATGCCCCATCCCTGGAGGGGTTCAAGGCCAGGCTGGATGAGGCTTTGGGCAACCTGGGCTAGTGGGAGGTGTCCCTGCCCATGGCAGGGGGTTCAAACTCTATGATCTTTAAGGTCCTTTCCAACCCAAACCAGTCTGTGATTCTATGAAGTACTGTGCCAGGAAGGGTCCCTGCAGAGGTGACTCAGGTGTGCTGTGAAAGCTACTTCTCTCTGTAGCAGTTTGCACACTAGCAGAGAGTTGCAGCTGTTGGAAAGGAAATGCTTGTGTTCTGGACAGGGACTGTCCAGGCTGCTTTCAAGCGTAGACAGGCTGTAAGTGAAGAAGGCTTTTGTCTGTGTTGCAGCCTGGGCAGGTTGTTGGCATTGACATGGAGTGGAGGCCTTCATTCGGCATGGTTGGGAAGCCTCGTGTCGCACTCCTTCAGATCGCTCTGAAGGATGAGGTGTTCCTGCTTGACTTGCCACGGCTCCTCAAGGAAGATGAGGCGGAGAGGGAGAAGGAGAAGCTTCCCCGTTTCATCCAGAGGCTCTATGCAGATGCAGCCATCACTAAACTAGGTACCATGTGTCTCTTCTCCCCACCTCTGGTCTTTACCCCGTTTATTTTGTGACATCCCTAGATCCTCTTGGGGTTGTCATTCTCTGTATCTGCTTACCACAAAACCAGCTTTTGTAGCCCAGGGTGTTCAAATACTGCCACGCCAGGAAGCAGGGTGACCAGTGGAACTGGGAATGGTAGAAGTGTCTCCCCATTTCAGGTCAGACCCAAGATTTCTGATTTAGCCTCCCCTTCTTGGACCCAAGGTTGTCTTAGTTCCATGCTAAGCCCCGACTTGCACCCAGCCTTCAGTGGTTGTGGGAAGCCATCCAGAGCTGTCTGGGTTTGCTGACCCTGTCCCAGCACCACTGTGCTGGACACCAGAGCTCTCCAGCTTACCGCACCTGGTTTAGATTCTGCTTGGAGGCTTTTGGCAGGAGTTGTTAAACCCAGAGTTCAAGGGCAGATTTGTAATTGCCTTTCACTGCCCTGGCAGATTTTAAGTAAGTTGATCTTAAACTCAGCATTTTTCATCCACCTCCTCTCTCCCAGTGTTCATCTGCAAGAGTATCTCTCAGCAGCAGGAGAGATGGGGGTCTGCCTTGTTCCCTATCTGAACAGTCTTTCCACCAATATTTATACATATATTGTCAGCATTTTAATTCTGAACTAGAAAAAGCTGAGGTGCATTAGCCATGATTTGAGTTTTCCTACCTGTGTGATTTGGGCTTTCTTTTTCCTCCAGGTTATGGGATGTCTGGAGACCTTAGCAGCCTTGCGGCCACATGTTCTGCTTTGAAAGACATGGATAAGCAAGCGCAAGGTGTGGTGGACCTGCTCACAGTAGACAAACAAGTAAGGATGAACACAGGAAGATATGGAAAATTGTGTCTCCTGTGTATGCTCGTAGATAACTATCCTGAAGTCACAGCATTGTCTTTTTGTATGGCTATTGGCATGGAGATGGCTAAATGAGTAAATAGACCTTTGCCGCTTGTGGTTTCGAGGGTAATGTGATTCTGTAAAGAAAGGCAGAAGCCTTTAGTTTTCATCAACTAAAAAGTTAGAGCTTGATCTACTAATAACATTTTTCCTAGCCTTTATAAAAGCTGTGAAAAAGCCATTGAAATGGAGACAGAACTCCATTCAGCTGGGACAAAGTTTCTGAGCAGAAGTCCTGCTTGAACTCAGTAAGAGTAAATTCTTGTAGAAATTCTGATATTCCGAGATCATGCATCATTGAAGCAGATATTACGGAGTTAATGGTTTGTAGAGAACTCAGAATGGAGGGCTGCTGGTGGATTCAGCACAGGAATTTCTGTTCGGCTGAAGTACAGCTGTCTCTGGGTTTGCACACAGTAGTTTTTAGCAGTCGGCAGAAATGTTAAGGACAACCATTTTAGTGGGTAAAATCTACAGAGCATGTTTAAGGCTGTGGGCTGGGGTGAACCCAGATCTTTGGGACCGATAGCATAACCTGGGAAGTGCTGCAGGGTCTGCAGTACCTGCCAACAGCCGTTGCCTCAGTGGAGTCTGAGAAATGGAAACTGCAGAAAGGCTGTTGCCCACGGTGTTACAGGAAGACCTTTTCTCACTGGAGTTAGGAGGAGAAAGGTGCTGAACCACTGCTGCTATTCTTTTATTGAATTGGTGCCCAACAGCCTTCAGCGTGGCTGAGCGCCCTGCAAACCTCTGAGAAGTCACAGCCCCACTGCTCTGATGGAATGCTGTACGATAATGCGCTTTTTTTCCTTCCCTGGCTATGAAGCAGATTTCTTTCCAGCAAGTATGTTTGTTAAACAAATAACCAGACGCCGTATATATCTCATGCCACCCCAGCCCTTGTCTGAGACAACGGGATGCCAGGCAAGAGATAAAAATGATAGGGTTGCTGTACGGCCCCACCCGCTGCAACAGGGGGTGTTGTAGAAGCTGTTTTATAGCCATGTGTTTTATATCTTTTTCTTTCCATCAGCTGCAGAAGAGCTCCGTTGACTGGAAGAAGGGTGGCCGGGAGGTCGATGTACTGTCCTCGGAGCAGAGCTACAAGGAGAGAGGGTTCAGGCAGCCGGAGAAAGGGCTCAGCCTCTTGGTGCAACATGTGCTGGGAAAACCTCTAGATAAAACAGAGCAGCTGTCCAACTGGGAGAAACGGCCGCTCCGGGAGGAACAGATCCTCTATGCAGGTCTGGTCACCGACTCTGTGGCAAGGTGCTACAGGTTGTCCATTACAGGCTCTGTTTGTCTGTTCTCTGTCACCAGGAAAATTGTTAAGTGGTAAACGAAGAAAATGGCTTTGCAGATTAGTTCCTGTTCAGAGAAGTCAGCACATGTTATGTTTGTCCTTTTGAGGACGTGGCTTTAATGGTTGAAGTTTAAACTCTCCAGTGATTCATTATTTCCCTTATGAAAGAATTCCCGTGCTTTGCAGATTTTGTCTGATGAAACAGCACCTCAGTGGAAACTCCTCTCAGTAACCAAAAGGAAGAAAGTCCACTTCCTTCTGCCTCATTTCACAGCCTTTCCGACAAACTGCTCATTTGTCATAGTGAAGTGCTCATTAGAGCAGAGTTGAAAATGGGTAGACATGGTGTCAGAAACTGCAGCAGTGTCAGTCCTGTGGAGGGGCCAGTGGAGGTTATTGCTATTACCCCAGAGTCAGAAGTCTGGGTCTAACTCTTTTCCTGGGGCATCAAAGGACAGTCTACTGAAGCGAACCAGCCCTTTGGTAAATTCAGCTATCCTTGAAGCTGACACAGTTCCCACAAAAGTTAATCACCAGGACTTGTAAAACTGGCTTGGAAACTTAGACAGTTCCCGTTGCAAGGAACAGAAGCGGCACGGCAGTGCGTGTGGGCAGGTGATTGCAAACAACTCAGTTATTACTTTTTAAGATATTGCATCTGATGGGGAATTTACCTTCCCATAGCTGCGATGCGGTAATAACCATGGGCAAGCCGCTGCTCAGTGACAACGGAGGGTGAAATGGGTTGGCTGCAGCTATGTGCCATGGTGGCTTGAACAGGAGTGCTGCAATTTGCATTACGTTAGAGTCAGGGACAGCAGAGGGTCTGTGGCAACAGCTCCTCTGCCTTGACTCTTTGTATCATGCTCTGGGTCGTGGTGCTCACTGAATCTGTGAGAGAGTTCAGGGTGTGACATTAGGAAGTTGGAGCTTCACAGGTTGGTTGCGTTCGGTGGCATTTACAAAGGTGAGGGCTCTTCCTTGCATCAGGAAGGGCTCTGGTTTGCTTTTAGATGAAACCAGCTGAGGCTCATATCCCCTTATTTTCAGCTTCAGATGCATACTGTTTGCTGGAGATCTACGAGAAACTCTGCAAGGATCCAGCGAGCTTTGGTCTGAGTTCAGACCTGACTGAGAGTCTGGTGGGAAAACCAAGCGTAAAACCCAGGGCAAAGAAGCAGCCGAACAAAGGAGAAGTACCATCCCCTCCTGGACAGGTTTGTAAACATCTTCAAAGAGCTGCACGTTGCTCAAGACCCCTGCAAATCATATGTTGCCTTGTCTCCCAGTCATCCCATTAGCTATGCATGGCATGCCTGTTTGTAGTCTGTTCTCAGGATATTGCAGCAAACATCTTCCTCGCTCCTCCCCTTTACTGATAAGATGTGCTTTCTCCTTTGCGTGCCTTGGTTCAGCTTTCCCTGCAATTTTAGGTTCATTTGTTTTCACAAAGTGTCGGTGCAGATCTGCGTGGCAGAATCCAGCTAACCTTGCTGGGAGAAGTGCTCCTTCCACACTTCCTCAGTGGCATGGGCTTTGAATTCTGTGCCCTACGTGTTGCATCAAGGAGGTTTCAAAACTCTGATTTCCTTACTTTTGTGCTTAGCTGAGCTTCTACACTTTAGTTTCACATGGAGTATGCCTCCTTTATTGTGTCTAAAGGAGAAGTATGCAAAGCTAAAAACAAACATTCCATGAAAAAGTCCTTCTGCTGATGGCTTGTCCCTGTCTCCCTGCCCACCACCACGTATTCTGTGACAGGCTTCCCCCTGCAAAGTGTGTCGTGGCAGAGCCTTAAAGCTCCACCGGCCGTAACTTGGAGCTGTGTCACTCTGCTTAAGTATCTTGCAACGTGACTGGTCCCTCTCTCTTCCAGTGATAAAGTGCAACCAGCTGGTTGTTTATGCACCTATGAAAACATCAGCAGAAAACCAGTTTCGTTAGTTAACTGAGAAGACTCGCGTCCTTCTGAGTAGTCCCAAAGTAGCTAGTTGCCCAGAGCAGCTGTGGATGCCCCATCCCTGGAGGGGTTCAAGGCCAGGCTGGATGAGGCTTTGGGCAACCTGGGCTAGTGGGAGGTGTCCCTGCCCATGGCAGGGGGTGGCACTGGATGGGCTTTAAGGTCCCTTCCAGCCCAAACCAGTCTGTGATTCTATGAAATGTGTGTTTAGCTCCTGAAGTCACTGTTACCTTCTGTGGTTGGACTGAGATACTACTGATGATACCTTTTCAGGATCCTGTTTATCAATGTGTGCAAATGGACAGTATCCCATTAGTCTTGGGCAGTAGCACACAAAGCTGCTCCGTAGTTTCTAAGTTTTTAAGCGCTCTGTGTTCGTGAGAATATTGTGCGTTACGACATATCTGCCTGGCTGCTGCAGAGATGGGAAAAGTAAGTACTTCAGGCTTGAATTACCTTGTGAACTCACGGGTCATCTTTGTGTTCTGTACAGTCAGATCCATTAACCAAGAGGTAGCTGGTAAAACCTGGACTGGGACTCAAAAAGAGCAGCTTCCCCTGGCTCTACATCCTGCGTGACTCCGAGCTCTCTTCCCCAGTGTTTCCTGGTGTGCTCTCTGAAGTGGGGCTAATGACACGATTCTCCTTTATAAGCTTTTTGCTTTCTGCTGGCATGAAACGTGAGAAAAAAGCTGCATATGACATTGCTGGCCATTGAACAAACACTAGCTAAGAGCCAGCTGCTGCTCCTTCACATCTGTTTGAACAAAAGCAGCAGCACAGGGTTAGTGTCTTCCAGCTACCTCAGCATCGAAGGGTCGGCTTGATCCGTTACCGCAGCATGCTGATGTCTCAGGGCACAGCTGCATCCACCAAGGTCCTTACATGAACTGGTGACAGTCCAGTCTGCCCAGTGCTGGAGAGCTTTGAGGGCAGGTACCAGCTTCTGGTGAGGTGCAGCGTCACACCGAGCGGGCTCTCGGATGTGAGCGGGTTTCCGTGGCCAGCCCAGGTGTGTCTCATGGTGTGCCGCAGCGTGTCCAGGCTGGAGGCAGCTCCAGCAGAGCTCGGCTGCGGTGGTGCTGGCTCCAAAGACAGTGCAGCCCTGCCTCGGTGGTCGCTGTGTCCTCCACTCATCCCAGCTGGTTCCAGTTCCTGGAAGCAAAGCTGGACATTGGAGGTTCATTAATAACTTCCCTTCTCCATGAATTTAGCTATTGTACTTCTGGGAGCCTCCCAAAGACAGTCTCCAACTGCAGGAACTCCCCCAGCAGCAGACATTTGAAATAAAATAAACAGAATTCAGGCACTGCCTATTTTTAAACTTCCCAAGATAACAAAGCTGACGTGGTTGCTTTGTCTACCTGTTTCTCCCCTGTCTGTCAGATGCCCTTTTCGAATCGTAACTTTGGCACATGTGGATTGACCGCAGTCTGGTTCAGCATTGAAGCGGTGTTTCTGTGCCTTGCTGGAGATGGGTGTCTGTGTGGAAGGCCAGCTGGCATTTCTCCAGGGAAAGGCTGCAGATCCCTGGGTTCAGTGGCCAGCTGGCGAGTGAGCGAATGGCTAATTCAGAACTAGCCCCATCGTGTGCTGCCTCCTGCCCACGTGGTCGGTGGGTGATGAGAGATACGAAGGAGGAACTCGAGGTGTTGCAAAGCACGGGGGAAATTGTCATACAGGTGGAAGGGGGACGGTTGGGTTTGTCATGGCGAGTGAATGCAGGGAGACAAAACACTGGAAGGCTGGAAATCAGCCTTGTGTCCTGCTGCTTATGGATCTCTTGCCTTTCTGTAGCAATGCAGGGGATCTGACAAGGAGACCTCGTGTGTCCCCACTCCCATCTCGCCAAAGGAGTTCAGCGTGGTCTGCGACAACATGCTGCAGGGCCTCGGGCGCTACCTTCGCTGCCTTGGTGTGGATGTCCGCATGCTGGAGAACGAGGATGACCATAGGAAAGCTGCTGAGGTTAGTCCCCTGCGTGTGTATGTGTGTATTTATAGCTCCCATCTGCCTGCTGCTTGCTGAATAGCCACACCGGTTAGTTGCTCGCGCGAGCAGGCGGTGGGCTGGCAGGAGCTGTCCCGCACAAGCATCCTCCTGTGCCCATGCTCAGACCCAGTTCTCTGGCTGGGTCCAAGAAGCTGTGCCACATGGCAGCTGGCATTAGCTGGTCCCTAGAGTAGCCTGTGAGCTTGGTTCTCTGTTTCCAGGAGATGGGGGGTGAGCAGAGAGTGCTGTGATCTCACATCTTATTTGTGTCTGTTTGTTTGTGTCATTGACGGCTGGAACGTTTCAGGTCATTGGAAGAACACAAGCAGCGTGTAAAGATGTGACCTGCAGTCACAAGTGTCTTTGATGGGAAGGTGGTGGTAGATTTGTAACAAGACAAAAATCAGAGGAAGGAACCCAAAATTCACTTAGGTTTTCTAACGGACTCCAGTTTGAGCTTACAGGGAAGGTATTTCCCTGCCCTTTGCCTGGCTCGATCGAGCAGAACTGTAATCAAAAGTTGGCTGTTCAATATGAAAGGGAAAATTTCCATAGTAAATTGCCATATAACATCCTAGCTGGCTGCCACCTTGTGACATGGCTCAAGGTGATCACCGACAACTTCCAGTGAAATGTTTGGGAAAGGAAGACTCTCTAATGTGCACGGGGACAATGAACATTGATCTGGACTCCCAGAACAGCTTTGACCCTCTGCGTCTTGGAGGAGAGACACATGCTTCTTCATTTCAGACATATTTCTGCTATGCCAGAAATGGAGATATCCAGCCCACACAGTGTGTTGCTATCAAGTGTGCACTGATCACCCGGCCTGGTGCACAGGATGTTTCCTCTTCAGATGTCTGCTTGGCCTGAATCCTGGGCAGGCTCTGACTTCTGCAGAAATAATTAATATCTCGTCTCTGCCAAACTTGCACAAGTCATTTAAACAAACCAGTTCTCACTGCCTCCCCCCAGAGCCCCGGCTCCGCTTCTCATCCTGATACCTTATCGTGCCACGGACAGGATGTTTTACATTGCTTTCTCTATGGTGACCGGACAAACATCCTTTCACTATCAAAAGCCCTTGGAGTGTTACTGTACTGCAGAGCCTTTGATCTGTGCTTGGATAATTAAAGATAAAAATAGACTCCTCCCACCCTGCTTTATGTCTGGCTAGTCCTGGTTTAATAAAAGTTGAATGTTGACCACGCTACACCCAAAAACTTGTAAATGTTATTGCAAAGGCCAGCAGAAGGGTTCGGATCCTGGTCGGTGAATACAAGGTAGACAGTTTGGGTGTTGTCCCAACACGGTCTCAAACTAGTGTCACCAGGAACACAGAAGTGTGTGTTTGTTCTTCATGAAAGTCATTTCACTGAAATGATTTATCAGTTACATTACACATCTCCCTGTGCCAAGAACTCCTGAATCGCCCGGCTCCTTATTTGCTCCTTATTGTTCTCATTCCTGTTGCTTGTTAAAGTGGCTTCAAGTGTTGGTAGGCAGACAGGTCTTGTCCTTCACCCTCTATTATTTGAGAGCAAACTTAAAAGCCTGAGAGCTTTGTAGATTGTGCTTGGGCAGGTATGGATTTTTTAACTTTTTTCTTTTAGACTAATGCATGTGGCAGTAATTGGTTAAGAAACCCCATTCCCAGGCTAACCGTGAAGTCCGTGTCCCGTGTACCGCTTCGCACTGTGGTGCTATTCTTGGCTAAATGTTTTCTCTTGGACAGCAGTTGTCAGGGCGTGTTTATCACGCCAGATCTGCAGTCTCAGATCTGCCGGCCCGGGAGAGCGGGACTCCTGACACCCTGGGCCAACGTGTCCCCTGTTTGTCCATATGGAGCTGCTGTGAGGTGACACCAGTTTGCGTTCTGTGTATTTAATGGTGCCGTTGAATTGACTGGAGAAGTGACTGATGAAAAGTTACCTGTCATAAGTGCAGACACAGAAAATCTTTAAAAACTGAAAAATAGTAGAAATTCATACTGAAAATTTCTCTGATAAGTCTGTCCTCGTGTTGGAGGCAGAGACTTGACAGTCCATCCTTACAAAACCATTTTCACCTCTGTTCATGAGCACCAGCCTCTTGGGAAGAGCAGCTTTGTGTCCCAGGACAGGTGCCGTGTCATTTTCTGAGTCTCATCATTCGGTGGGGTGACAGTAACATTTTTACCATGTTCCGTTTCTGTCCTAGCTGCTGTAGCACAATGTGCACAAGTGTTTGGCAAAGCAGGTATGCAGCTGGGGAATGAAATTTCTACCAGAAGTGCTGGATGAGCTCCTTCACCTGACTTTAGCTGCCTGTGCACGAGAGCCGGGCGGATTCACCACGTGCTGTCCCTGAAACGTGCCCTTGCCTGCCAGTGCTGCCGCAGTCCTGCCCCTTGGGTAGGGACCTTCTGGAGGGCTCTGGGCAGTGGCCCGGGCTGGCCCGAGCCTGGCTCCTGGCTGTGTGGCCTCTCATGAGAAGGGCTGTATGCATCCAGCCGTTCCTCACCAGTGGCTTCTGACTCCATCCCAAGGTAAAGAATGGCTCCAGCTGGTAAAGAATGCGGGGATTGGATCTCTTGTGCAGCATCATTCTGTGTGTGCAGGTGCCGTTACTGGGGTGAGCCACCCTGTGCCTCTGCACTTATTCCTATAAGCAACGTGTTATATCCAGTTAATATATTTTGCTCTACTTCAGGCACATCTTATGCCTGTTGTGTTTCATAGAATCACAGAATCACAGGATGGTTTGGGTTGGAAGGGACCTTAAAGCCCATCCAGTGCCACCCCCTGCCATGGGCAGGGACACCTCCCACTAGCCCAGGTTGCCCAAAGCCTCATCCAGCCTGGCCTTGAACCCCTCCAGGGATGGGGCATCCACAGCTTCTCCGGGCA